CTTGTGAAATAAATACAAATAGAACCGTCGCCATCTCTCACTGTCTCGCAATGCGGCCATCTATCGAGGCTCCTGTGCGCGGGAATGATCTCGCAGTTCCATCTCTTTGCGGGTGACGAACCCGTGGTTTCACGTTCCCTTCTTCGGCTGTCACTCCCGTCACGAGTCGTATTCACCGACCATCATCCATCCCTTCTGACGATTCGCCTTGCCCATGCCTACTTTAATTCCTTTCGACGGTCAAAACGATGTCTCTTTAAGGCTTTTGCGTATGTCCCCCAACCCACGTGTCCCCCTCCCTTTCTCTCGGTGCATTTACAATCTTGCACCCCCTTTCTGCATGCCTCTGGTATGCGTACCGTACACTGCTCAGAGGTGCCACGTTGGCGAGATGTTAACTTTCTCGCCTGGTATGCAGGAGGTCGTGGGTTCGATCCTGACCCTGACGCCAGCTGTATATTGGGAGTTTGAATGCCTCTCCCCGTGGTCACATGGATTTTTCTCCGGGTCCTCCGGTTGTTCCCCCTCCGCATTTAGAATCAACATCACGCATTTAGAGTATTCGGCTGCTATACATTTCCACATGATATGCTACTTCGTTGGAGCTATTATTTGTGGCCAGTTCGCTTTTGAAAAAAATAGCTGTCGGCTCAGTGAGCCTTACCTAGGGGGGGGGGGGGGAGTTAAAATAGGTTCAGCGTTTTGTTTGCTTCGTTATCATTGTCAGAGTCCGCGTGTCTATGACGAACATTGCCACAGCGGGGGGCGTTCAAATTTAGCAATAACCCCCGGGGCATCGACAACCGATTCCCGATTACGCCTTTTTGGGGCGAGGGTGATCTCTCGCGCACAGTCACACAGTGACTCACTCACTCGTCCGAGAGTCCTCGCCGCCGCTGCCACCTCCGCGTGCAGTGACAGCGTGCAGTGGTGACGTTTGTGTGGGTTGCAGGGCAGGTGATGGTTTGTTGTTGTGGGTGGTGGTGGCGGCGGTGGTTAGGGGGGACCGCGTGGCTGCAGGCTGTTAGGGAGTTAGGAGAGTTGCCACCTCTTGAGAGACAAAACATCCGGGACTAATCGCGGGAACGAGAAGAAAACTGTACTATCTCGCGATGTCGTGAGAGGGGAGAGAACTATGTGGAGAGACAGAGACAGAAAGAGGCATTGTCTTTGAGCAGGAAATTTTCTGACGAAAACCCACGACTTTTAATGCCCTGGGACGACGTGCAGCTTTATAAGGAGCTGTCTAAAAAACCGAGGACGATCCTGGGAAAGCCAGAATACAATAATGAAAGTCATCGCCGTGAATAACAAAGTAAATCAACGGATGTATCTTTCCCTCAACTTTAAACAAACTTTTTTTTTTACACATCCCATTGGCCACACGGCTTGCTGAGAGTCCATCATTTCAGCAACATTGGTTCAGCAAATCGGGAAAGCTAGGACGGGGTGGGGACACACGTCAACCCCCGCAACCCCCGTAGCGGTGAAGAAATGAGATATCGTGCCGTGTGATGCGAGTCTTGGATCATGACTCATGCACGCAACACGCAGAGGAGAGAGCGAGAGACGAAACACGGCTCTGTGGCACGAGGCCACCGGAATTGTCATCCCGTGGAACTCGGTAGCGTTTTGTCTTTTAGAGACCAAGAACAGAAGAGGAAAAACAGAAATCATAATTACTCTTTGGTTCTTTCGGTAAAGTTACGTAGGTAGAAAAAATAAAATAAAAAATACCTACCGACGTGACTTTACCAAAAGAACCAAAGAGTATGGATTCCTGCAGTAACGAAAGCTTCAAATCAAGATTAAATCATTATTAGTTCAACGTCAAACATTCTTGTGACATCTGCCAACAACAACAAAAATATATATTGTTAATTGGCTCGAGAATAATTTGTCACAAGCAGTAATATTTATAATTTCCTGTTGCAATGCACTTTGGTGATTTGTTGTACTCGTCATGTACTTGCATCCACGTTAGTTCACGCGATTGTTTTTATTTTGCCGTAGTTATCGTGACACATACATTATCAAGGGTGTGAAATGATAAAAAAAATGTCGACAGAGCAGTTTGTCTACATTGCTTAGCGATGCTGCCCTTTGAACCCGACCACCCGAGTTCGATTCCCGGCCATGGCTGACATCGGTCCTGCCGTCCGCCACTCCCCATTCACCAACACGTACTGACCAATGCGGTGAAGTATGGTCAAATAAACCCCCCATGATCGACATGGCATGGGGAGGGAGGCCTTCATCCACTGGTAGAGAATATCTGGAATGTATTAATTTTGATAAATAAAAGTAATTTTACATCACTTACATGATGAAAATGGCTTTTATACTATTGTCAGTATAACCATCGTAACTTTCATATGATTGAATTGTCACCAGGCAGCTCTCATCTGCATTGATGCTCTTGAGACGGGAGTGGAAATTCCACATGTCTGTGGTAGGAATCAGCATAATCCATGACAAAACTTCTGCAAACTTTTCTCCATATACTGTTAATCAGGAGGTACCTAAAAACGAAGCTAAACATTTTTAAAATTTTAGCAGGTAAGGCCCACTGAACTATATTGCTCTTTTTCAGAAACGACCTGGCCACTAATGACAACTCAACGAAGTGGCTTATCATCGCGTGGACATTTATAGCAGCTGCCTAATACTCCAAACAGGGGGTAGGCAACCAAAATAACAAGAGCCTTTTTGTTCAAATTCTGTATAAACTCAATATTTTAAATGCACGCGAATACAAGACGGTGGTCCTTAATAGAAACGTGTCACGAAGTAGTCCTTAGAGTGCCGCATGCGGCTCTGGAGCCACAGGTTACCGATCCCCTGTTCCACGCGTGGCGTTCATTCTAAACGTGGAGGCAAAAACTGGAGGACCCGGAGAAAAATCCACGCAACCACAGAGAGACACATGCAAACTCCAAATATGCAGGCGTCAGGGTCGGGATTGAACCCACGACCTCTTGTATACCAGCCGGGGTGGTTAACATCTCACCACTGTGGCGCATATCTGGATACCAACCCCAGATGGATGATGTTGTTGTTGATTGGTTGAGTTGACAAATAGATGAAAGAAAAAGATGATTTGGCTTAAACATAGCCCTCTAATATGATGATTAATAAATCAGAATAAAAAATAATAATTGTCAATCAACTGCCGGACGAAGACCTCAGCATGCCTTTCGGCCCACGACCTCCTGTATACCAGGTGAGGTAGTTCACATCTCGCCACCGCGGCGCCCGTCCACAGGTACTGGCTTTGTCGATGGGTGAGAACGACCTCGACACCTAGAATCGTGTGGCCTGCCTCGGAATTAATTGAACGTTCATAATTTCAACTCTTATTCCCTGCCGCACAGTGTTTGTGCTCTCTCGAACACAGAGAGAGGGAGAGATTGACTCAGAGGTGTGAGGAGGAACCACAAACAGGCGGGAAAAGCAGCAGCCAGACGGTGAGTTGGCACCAACAAAGATCCAAGCTCTGTGGTCCTCGATATATTAAGGTGTTATCAGCCACTTAATGAGTGTACGTATGGGAGGAAATCGGAGCACCTGGGAGAAAACTCACACGTGCGAGGGGGCAACGCTCTATCCCATGCAGACGGAACAGGTCGAGTCCACGTTCTCCTGCTAAGCCCCGGGGTTATGGGGAAGGGCGTTTCACGACATCTCTGCGTGCGATCCATCAACCCTGGCCGCTGCCTCCACCGTGCTGGATTACAGGTCAAAGTGCGGCAGTGTAGCCACCGCCGCCCGGCCTAAGTTAACCTGTTGTTTTTCATGGAAACCGCGTAACCAGGGCAGACGGGCGGTTTCGCTCAAGGGCACGCACGCCAAAACCTTCCAAGAAAGCGGCATACCTGGAATGCCAGCGCGCAAAAAAATAGGATGCGGCCGGGCCAGGCTTTTTTATTATCATTACACGCTTTTACTTAACTCACCCTGTCTGTTGTCGTATCCTCTAATAATCTTCTAACTCAATTTTTACCCACTTCCCAATGTGCTATCGACTGAAAACTTGGTATACTTATGTTATACTGATGACAAGACAATATTCTATCGTGAAAAAAATCAAAAACAGTTTAAAGCATTCTTTTACATGCTTTTGATAACCTCACTCTGTTGTATCCTCAAAACTTGTAACTCAATTTTAACCCACTTCCCAATGTCGTATCGACTGCAAACTTGGTATACGTATGTCATACTGATGACAATACTATATTCTATCTTTAAAAAGAAAAAAATTCAACAATATTTTTTATATGTTATGTTTCGCCTTTGGTCTAATTGTCCACGCTGGAGTCGTGGAGTTCTGCCATTACTAGTACGGTACATTTCATTAAAGCGTGCTTTTTTTAAAAGTAATTTTAAATATTATTATTTCTGAGGTACTGAAATGTCGAAAGCGATGTTTTTTTTTGACTTAAAACTTTCGCGACTGCAGGAATTCATATTATTGGTTATTTCTCTCCGCCTGATGAAGACCGCATGTGTTGCGATCGAAACGTCGTGGGTTTTTTGCTTTCATTATTTTCAATTTATTTTTAATTTACTATTTGAATTCTTATTGTTTTTTTGCTTTTATTATTTTCAATTTATTACATTTATTTTTTCTCCATCTTTTTTTTCCATCTACGTGACTTTACCTAAAGAACCAAGAATATGTTATGTTTACGTGACAACCCTTACTAGTTGGCCGTGTCGGGTGTTGGCGTGTTTTAACGACACGTATTTACGCGTTCTAACCCAAAAAACCTTTATGGATTCTGATACAATAATAAACTGGACCTTCCCTGGACACCCTGGGAAGACGAAGAGTTGCTTAAGCGAAACTCTTTAAGAGCCGTTCTCTTCATTGCAAGGCCCGAGGGCCACTGGCAACCTCTTTGTGGGGCCTTTAGTGCGGCCCCAGACAATACACAATGTGAAAAGCACCCCTTGCAGGCGATGTGGCGGTCCTCAACACAGGCGAAAGTGCCCCTCACCTCTGAACCTTAGTGAAGAACACGAGTCTAGCGCAACATTCCCCTCGTCGAGCCCTCCGCCACCTCGCCGGCCCAGCGGGGGGAGCGAGCCGTTGGTAATCGGAACTTCACGTCGGATGGGGGTTGACTCAACCCATCATCCCTCCCTCCAAGGGTCGATAAAACAGACACCTTTTTTATCGGCCTAAGACGGAACAAGGGTCGTCTAATAGATTAGAGTCGACCCACTTCCGCAATGTCGAACTCCCACAACAAAATGACACGGAATCTGCAAACCCAAGCGAGCATTAAATCGCCCTGGCGCCCGATGAAAAGCGGCGTCAAGTACGCGGGATTTGAACTTCGGATGTTCAAGGGCTCTGGTCCCGAAGACCGAGAACCGCGATAGTCAAAACTCGACATACCGCGAGCGGCCTCCGCTGCCCCTCGCTGCGGGGTCACCCCCCACAAACTCGGGGTGCGCCTCAGGCAAGGCAGGCTCCCACCTCGGCCTCGCCCGCGTCTACCCCATTTCCCCGCGCACGCCCGCGTCTCCCTCACGTCCTCCCTCGCACCTTTCTGCCGCAGCTCTGGTAGGGAGGCGGCGACGAGGCCGTGCCAGGTCGCGCGACCCACGCCGCACACGCGGTAGGGATGTCGAGTGGTCATGGCAAAACAGCGCCGCGGTCGCGGTACGGGGCCATTCGCGAGGGAAAAAATGGCCGCCTCCTGTCATGGGCGGGGCGACAACAAAGGCAAAGCACCCCCGTGTAGCCTCAGCAGACTGTTGGGGCAAGTGCTGCTGGCGAGTAGCACCTACGAAGGCCGGCACGGTACACGAGGGGGTGGGTGGTTGGTTAGCACCACGCCCGGCCGCCTTTGTCTCCCCAGTGCTGATGTTCACTACACACCGCGCAAGAGGTCGTCAGTTGAGGCCGAGTCGACCTAGGGGAGGCCCAAGACCGGTTTCGGATAATCGTCACCGATGTTATTGGTCGTAAACGGGAAACGAAACTCGGGTCGCCGGGTTCATACAACAGTGCGGTAACCACTGCGCCACCGCTCCCCAAAATAAATGACTAAAAATAAAATTGTCACACACACACACAAGTGCGCACATCCACGCACAAACATATGACAATAACAAAGAACCACCGTATAACTGAGTCTGTAGCAAGTAGCAGAACTTATGAAGGCCGGAACTGTGGCACACGAGAGGGTGGGTGCCCAGCACCACTCCCTTTAACAACAGCAACAAAGACAACGATCCCCCGTATAGCCTTAACAGACTGTTGGGGCAAGTGCTGTTAGCGAGGAGCAGCACCGATGAAGGCCGGGAACTTTGGCAAACGAGGGGGTGGGTGGCCAGCACCACGCCCGGCCGCCTTTAACAGAAACAGCAGCAATAACCGCTGCTCGCCACTAGGTGGGAGTGAAGTCAACACACATTCAGAATACAGGGACTCCCTCGACTTACCAACGAGTTGAAGTTCCTTGAGGTCTGTTCGTAACACCATTGGGACCTCCTTTGCCAGTAGCAAAATATGATAATTGTTTTTTTACCCTTCATCTGGCAACAAAACTGACACCTTTTTTTTACAAGGAGTCATGTTTGCATTGACTACAATACCTGCGGTTGGAATGCAAACAAAAACACAACTCTGATAATGTATGCACTGTCCTTGAAATTGATTGGTCCACACCCGAGACAGCTTTTCTTAGAGCCTAGTCTCACATGGTGCTGGACCAGATGACGCCAAAAGGCAAACATGACTCCTTGTAAAAAAAAGGTGTCAGTTTTGTTGCCAGATAAAAGGGTAAAAAACCAATGTCTGTTCGAAAGTCCAGCTTTACTCCCGTCGATTCCAAACATGTTGTACGGCATGTACAATAAAATGGGGAATTACTTTAAACGATGTGTAATCTCCTGAAAATGTAAAAGCCACTGGTTATTCATGTTCTGCAGATGTAGATGCCACTGGTTCTTCATGTTCTGCAGGTGTAGATGCGACTGGTTCTTCATATTCTGCAGATATAGATGGCACTGGTTCTTCATGTTCTGCAGATGTAGATACCACTGATTCTTCATGTTCTGTAGATGCCACTAGTTCTTCACGTTCTGCAGATGTAGATGCCACTGATTCTTCATGTTCTGTAGATGCCACTGGTTCTTCACGTTCTGCAGATGCCACTGATTCTTCATGTTCTGTAGATGCCACTGGTTCTTCACGTTCTGCAGATGTAGATGCCACTGATTCTTCATGTTCTGTAGATGCCACTGGTTCTTCACGTTCTGCAGATGCAGATGCCACTGATTCTTCATGTTCTGTAGATGCCACTGGTTCTTCACGTTCTTCAGATGCAGATGCAACTGATTCTTCATGTTCTGCAAATGTAGATGCCACTGGTCCTTCACGTTCTGCAAATGTAGAAGCCACTGATTCTTCATGTTCTGCAAATGTAGAAGCCACTGGTCCTTCACGTTCTGCAAATGTAGAAGCCACTGATTCTTCATGTTCTGCAAATGTAGAAGCCACTGGTCGTTCACGTTCTGCAGATGTAGATGCCACCACCGCCATCTATAGCGCGGCAGTTGAACTTACGACTCTTGGTACGAACAGGCAACTGGACATACGGACAGGTTTGTTCGTGTCTCTGAAAGTCACTAAGTCGAATGTTCGTAAGTAAAGCCCCTGCATCTATTTATTTATACTGGAGGAATCTGATTAACCATAACGCTCTTTTTTCACAGATGTCCAATAGGGGCACGAGGGTCAGAACTTTAAAACACAAACTTGTTTTTTTGCCAAGCTAGGTGCATTTTGAGGCCACGTTAAGTATGGGAGGATCTTGTTGCTGGCAGGTCACGGGACAGGCCCAGGTATCATGGGTTGACTAAGATGGCTGACCGATGCACCGGCTGTGCTCCCCTACTGTCAATTGCCTACGTTTTATCCGCCTGGCGCCCCGCTCGTTTGTTGTGAGCGTCACTGTGGGGGCCGTTGGCCCCCGGGGTCCCTCCCGCCTGCATCCCCTATTCGTTTACGTTACCCCACCTCCCTATTACCCGCTACGGTTTCGCCGGCATTCGAACGCGACACCCCTACTATTTACAGCCTCGCGCCGCGCTCCCACGCTGCGAGCATACGTGCGCACATCATCATCAATCAAACGTCGTGCTCGCAGTATAGCCCTGTGCGGCACGTTACCAATGCGCATCCGTATTATACACGTAGTGAACGTGCGCGCACACACGCATACAGCTCCACACGCGATACCCACTCTTGCGCCGCTCTGCGCAGCGCGCGCCGCCTGCTGGCCGCTTACGTTATGAGCGCGCACCTGGGGGACGCCGATTACGCACGCCGCGAGCTTACGCACACACAGTACCACACGCGTTCCCACACGCTCACACTGCACGACAAGATCACGCGAGACCACGCTTCGCTATTAATGATTTATTATCCGCTACCTGGAACTAGATGTTAAATCAGTGAGTCGACGAGGCTGGCCTACGCTGATACCTCTATACCTATTCCCGATTTATCTGCTATGATTCTAATTCCCCTTCTTACTCACTGTTAAGTGTCCACGGCGGTCCGCTGATCCCGGTGCTCACCGCGCGCCTCGGTGCGTCGCACGGACGTCCGGGTCGCTGGCTGGAGCTGCGTCTGGTCGCCTGGCGCTGGAGTAAGAGAGCGATTTCCCCTCTGCGCTCCTCTATTTATCCTCCCTACCTCCAAAGGGGATGCTGCGCTGAACAATGGGCTCGTGCACCCCAAGCCCGCGCACGGCAGTCCCCAGGCGCTGTTGATATGCTAATCAGTGAGCGACGTTGGCGGCGTACATCCTAATTACTCCCTTACCCTTCCTAACAATGGGGCCTGCGCGCTCAAGCGCAATTATCCCAACCCCCCATGACTATGCGCAACAGCCCCTGTGACCCCGCTATTCATGCTGTCTCGTGCCTCCCCTGCTTGCCCCGTCGACTCGTGGGGGTGTGTGTGGGGGGAAATGCGCCTCAACCGCGGTGGCCGAATGCCCCACGCCGCGACCACACCATATTAAGGCCGGCAGCAGCGCCGCGGTACCACGTAGCACGGGGGAGGTCATCCAATTCCCTGATCGCCGGAAACCGTGAGAATTAATCCCGATAAGGGTCTCTCGGATAAAAACCGGTCGATCAGGTAACCTTCCCTTCCAGCTCTATGGGGGGGGGGGGGGATGCGTGCGGGTGTGTGCTTATGTGGGGCGGGTGATGGGGGGCAGTGCGGTGGGGGAAGCCGGGCGGCTCCCTGGCTCGGCAGAGCGGCCCCGTCGCTGTGGCACCACATAGCCCCCCGGGGTGCCAGTCCCCGTCCCGGGTTGACTTGAGCACCTCGCCTGGGTTGCCCCCACGAGGTATCGCCGCGGGGTCCGCGGGATTCGCCCGGCCCTTGTGGCTGGCCTCGGGGGTGGCGGCTCCGTCTCCTGGGGCTCCGGCGGTGGTCTCCTCCTCCATTCCAACGGCTCCCCTCGGCCTCTGGCACCTGCGGGCTGGGGAACAAACTCAGAGACGGTGGGGTTTAAGGGTCGCCGTCCTCGTCGCCCCCGGCCCCGCCCGGGGCCCCTCGGAGCCCGGGGCTCCGTGGGGCCCATGTACTGCGCGAGGCCCCCGGGCACGGGGGGTGGGGGGACCCCGGGGTTTCGGGGTACTTGGACGGCGGGGCTCCCCCCCTCGGGGGCTGCTCGCCACGGCTTCAGTCGGCGGATGTTGACCACCATCTCCCGGCCCCTCTCTCCTCCCTGAATCAGCACCGTCCATGGTGAGATCTGCCGTCTCACAATCCAGGGTCCTCGCCAGTAGGTGGTCAGCTTCCCCACCTGTCCGGCACCGACGCGGGGAGTGTACAGCCACACCTCGGAGCCCGCAGTGTAGAAGGGGGGCTCCATACGGGTTCGGGCGCCCTGCTCTTGCCGCTGGTGCGCGGCCTCTCCGTGCGGGTAGGCTCGGCCCCTGGCCCCTCGCAGGGTCTCCAGCAAGTGCTCCACGGGGTGGCTCCCTTCCTCCCGTTGCGGCGGAGGGACACCGAACAGCAGATCTGCGGGCAGGCGAGACTCGCGACCAAACATCATTAGGAACGGGGTCTGTCCTGTAGAGGTGTGAACGGTGGTGGTGTAGGCGAACAGGGCATAGGGAAGGTGTTCGTCCCAGTCCTGTTGATTCGCGGCCGCCATGCGTTTAAGCTTCCCGGCCAGAGTCTGGTTCATCCTCTCTACCATCCCGTTCGCCTGGGGGTGATACGCCGTGGTTCGGTCCTTCTGGATCCCGAACTCTCGGCACAGCGCCTGAAATAGTTCGGCCTCGAATTCACTACCCTGGTCGGTAATGACTCGTTCGGGGATCCCGCACTTAAGTACGTAGTTTTCCACGAAGGCCCGGGCCACTACGAGGGCTGTTTTATCCGGGATAGCCACCGCCACGGGGTAGCGGGTGAAGTATTCCACCGCTACGAGAATATATCGGTTGCCCCGGTGGGATCGTGGAAAGGGCCCCTGCAGGTCGATTCCGACCAACTGATTCGTCCGA